GTTGTGCTGCACTTACAGATGATGGATCAGTGTGGTGAAATGAGTTCTTCTGTGTGGCCTTTGGCCCTGGGTCTTTGGAAAAACATTGTGGGTGATCTCCCCCTACGTTCTGCAGGGCTGGTTACATAGTTCTTTGGGGAAGCAGCAAGAGGCAAAAGGGTCCTATGCGGTTTTCCATTCCAGAGGGCTTGTTACTCTCCCCCAAGGGATTGCCCAGGATGGCTGACATTTCCTGGGAAAACTGTAAAAAAATGGCTGGCTTAATTTTTGGCCCCTGATCTTAGATTTACTCTGTGATTGGTCTACTTTATGCAATTTTCAGGAACTACTGATTTACAAGCCAATAGTGGCTTGATGTCCATCTCAAAACCATGAGTTCTCTGACGAGACTGGCTAGTTTGCAGTCCTGCTGAGTGGATCGGGCTTTGAAATGGATAAGGAACTGGCTTATGTAAATGTCTGCCCCACAGAGGCTTAGAGAGACAGAGAGAAGGGACCCTCAAGACCAAGATGATGTCAGAGAGGAGCAGTATGGACTTGGGGATCCTTAGATGGGAACATTCTAAGAGTTGAGATATAGATCAAGGTGCTGAAACAATGGGGACATCAAAATACTTGGGCAGAGCTTGGCCACAGAACAGCTCTGAAGGGGCCCAATGGTGGAACAGCTAGGATGATGCCCAAAGGCAGTAAAGTCCTGAGGGGACCTGGCCTCAGAGCTGCAGGGCTCAAAGAGCCTTATATGGTCGAGCACACTGTTATTCTGACTAGGTGGTGGGGCAGTGAGCAGCAAAGGGGCCAAGAGGAGGGAGGTGGAAGGCAGAGAGCGAGTGCACAGCCAAGAAGTTCGTGCATGGCTAAGACCGAGCCAGCTAGCAAGGAGGAAGGGGGCTTGCTCACACAGCAGAGAGCAGCTGAGAGATGTGACCTGCCCGGAGGCTCTCCTGTAACTGAAGGAAGAAGGGATGTGCTCTCCCACCCAGCCAGGCCTTCCAAACTTTACCTACAGGCTTTATGATCTGATCCTCAATTGTAAACTGTCACCTCTATAACTTCACTTTTTAATTTTTATCCTTAACGACATTAGACAATTTCTGAAGCGAGATTACAATCACTCATGGACGCTGTGTGAGATTATGCTGTTAGGTGCCATTGAGTCAATTCCACTTCATAGTGTCCTGAGCTCTTAACAGATGGAAACCATAGCTGGTCCTGCCCCATTCTCACTATCTCTGCTCTACTCAAGACCGTTGTTGCTAGCAATTATATGTACTCTTGTCTTTTAGTTTTTAAAAAAGATGTGGCTTTGGGCCATTATAGAAATTTAATATTAATTCAAAATTCACTAAAGAATAACTACAGCATTCTCCCACCCCCATTATTTCCAAAAGATAAACAAGTACAAGATTTTTCTACCTAACATGGGAGTGACTCTTACGTTTTCCTTGAGGAAAAAAAGAAATAAAATCTAGTTGTGCTACATTTTATAACAGAAGAGGTCTTGCAGCCACAAGTACAGAGACACTGTAAGAGGAAGGAAATGAACAGGAGTCTCACAGGTGAGTTGAGAATGACATCTGCTGTCCTCCAGGCAGAGCTCCACCTTCAGAGAAGACACAAAGCTTGTGTGTCTTCAAAGAAGACGAAAGAAATGAATTCTCCAGCAGAAAATCTGACCTAGGACACCTCCTCTGTAGTACAGATATCCAGCATATGAAATCCCTCATTTTTATTTTGATACAAAATTAAAAAGAAAAAACACTCTGTTATAAGCTGGAAATGAACAAGTTTTGCTTCCCAACAACTGAACAAGAGTTTGGAAGGACTATTTCTAGGGTGAGGAGAAATCCATTTCTGCTTGATGGTAGGAGGTTTGCTGGACCAATATGGTAATGAGCCAACACTGCCAAGACTCAGCAGCTTAATCACAAGGAGAAGATGCTAGAGAAACTCTTGCACTTGAAGACATTACAAGACTTACAGTAAATAAAAGAAAAAATGTTCCCTCTTCATGGAGAGGAAGATTCAATATTGTGAAAATGACAATCCCTCCAAAAGCAATCTACATGTTCAATGCAATCCAAACACAGATACCAAATTCATTTTTCAAGGAGATTGAAAGGGAAATTTGCAAGTTTATTTGGAGAGGAAAGACACCCCATAAAGAAAGCACTTCTGAAAAAAAATGAAGTGGGAGGCATAGCATTCCCTGACCTCAAAACCTACCATACAGAGGTAGTAACCAAAATAGCATGGTACAGGCACATAGACCAGTGGAACAGAATGAGAACCCAAGAATGAACCCAGCTCTCTATGGTCAACTGATACTCCACAGGAAATAAAACCTATTGAATGGGAAAATGACAATCTCTTCAACAAATGGAGCTGGCAGAACTGGGCTGCGACCTGCAGAAATCTGAAACAGGAGCCACATGTCACAACATAAACACACACACACACACACACACACACACACACATACACACACACACCCCCCCCAAGTCAAGGTGGATCAGAGACCTGGGAATAAAGCCAAAGCCATAAAGTTCGTAAGAGACAAGCTGGACCAAGTTATAAAGAGATGCCAAATATAGCCAGAAATGCTCAATCTGCAGAGGGTACAATTGACAAATGGGACCTTCAAAAGATTAAATGTCTATGCTCATCAAAAACTTTTCCCAACAGGGTGAAAAGAAAAATTACCAACTGGGGAAAAATTTGACAATTCTATCTCAGACAAAGGTCTTATAACAAACCTTTATAGAATACTACTGGGCCTCCAGAAGAAAAAGGCTGATAACTCAATTACAAAATGAGCAAAGGCATGGAAAGACTTTTCACAGAGGAAGACATTTAGATGATCAACAGACACATGAAGAAATACTCAAAATAACTGGCAATAAAAGAGGTACAAATCAAAACCACAATGAGATACCATTTTCACTGCAATAGCCTTAGCAAAGTTTACCATGGCAGCAAGCAATAAATGTTGGAGAAGATATGGTGAGACAGGAACTCTCATACACTCTTGGTGCAACTGTAAAATGGTACAACCACTCTGGAAGACAGTTTGGTGTTTCCTCAAAAAGTTGAACATAGAAACTCTGTATGACCCAGCTATTCCACTACTAGGAATATAACTCAAGGAAATTAGAACTAAAACACAAATGGAGATTTGTACACTAATGTTCATAGCAGCATTATTCACAAGAACATGGTAACAGTCCACATGTCCTACCACAACTAAACGGACTGAGAAATTGTGGTACACTGACATAAGGGAATATTATGTGACATTCAGGAGAAATGATTTTGCAAAATACTATGTAACTTGGGAGACTGGAGTTAGTGAACTAACTCAGTCTTATAAGGACAAATACTGCATAAGATCATTCTTATAAAAAAAAAATAGAAGGATAACTAGTAAAACATGTATGGGGATCCAAGGGGAGAATGGTGGGAACAGAGGAATTAGTATGCATAAGAGCAAAATACAGGGTTGCACAGGTTGGAGGGAGAGGGTGAAGGAAACGGGAAGGATCTGGCAGGGATCTGAAAACACAGGGTAATGATGGGCAAGACCCAACGGTGATTCATTTTATAAAACATAATGTATGAGAAGGATTGCATGAAACACAATGTATACAAACTTTATAAGCAAACCAATATTAAAAAAAAGACTCACCACAGGAATACAGCTTGTAAACTTAGTATCTGAAAACCTGCTAAATAAGCTAAGTGATCATCAACAATTGAATGAGTGCTTTGTAGCTTATTCATACAGTGATATCCTCTATTTCCATGAAAAAGAATAAACTAGAGCTTATCATATTAATATAGATTCTACAGAGCTGACTGAATGAAGCAACACCCAGGAAAATGCTGCATCCTTCAAATGACACCAAATAATAGAGGCAAAACAAAGATGTATATTCTTACTAAGAACCTTCTTCATGTGATCTTTATTCCTTCCTAGGTTTTAATTTATACTTAGAAGCCTCTGATTTCTTAACATAAGTCTCCTATATTGAGACATACTAGGTACTTTACAGAATGAAACCTATTACAAACTATCTATACAGCATACATTAAGTGTAATATGAGAGTTTATTCAATACTAAGCTTTACTTAGAGATAAACATTAGATATCAGTATTTGAAATACTGAAGACTTGAAAACCAAACAGTTTGTATATGTTTGTCTGTGAAAACGTATTATTACTACAATAAGAATCTTTTTCCACAATGGAACTTCTATATATTTCAATTTTTCTGAGCTGGGAACTATGACTCATGGACTAAATATGACCCATTGCCTATTTTTATAAGTAAAGTTTTATTTGAACACAGCCATGTAGAATCAATTGAGTATCTTCTAGGGCTGCTTCCAAACTACAATGGCAGAATTGAGCAGTGATGATGAATGTTACATAAGCACAAAATAATTACAATCTGGTCCTTGACACAAAAATTATACCATTCTTGATGTAGATCAAGACTTGTCTGCAGTTGTTGTTCTAAGGTATCATCGACTTGATGGCAAAGCACAGCGACCAAAGGAACAACAGATCTGGACCCTGTCCTGTCGTGTGCCATCCTCACAATCTCTGACACAACTCAGTCCATTACTGCAGTCACTGCATCAATCTACCTGGGTGAGGGTCTTCCTCTCCTTCACTGTCCCACCTTCTCATGTTAATAATTTTAAAAAGAAAATTTTATATGCTATATTTTCTAAAAGTCAAGAGAAATCACAGCTATGGTAAAGCCTTCCCCATCTCAATTTAATTGAAGGAAGGTTACATGATAATTAAAAACTCGTATCTTCTGAACCTTAGTTGAACTATATTGCTGTTATTAAATATGTTACTTAAGTGACTTAAGCAATCAGTAACTGCTGGGATATGTGGTAAGGTCTAGCCTCCTAGGATAACCAAATAAGGGGCAGGAAAGCTTTTAGAAAAGCAACAAAATCTTGAGTAAAGCCACTGCTCCTCTTGCCTTGTCTGCAGGTGTTAACCTGGCCCAGGGCTTGTCTGCCCGCCGGTCGTAGTCCGGGGAATCGGTGACCTCAACGTACTCGTTAAACCGCAGGATCCTTCGTGCTTGGAGTTCTGCCACCGAAGGTCTCAGGCTGAGCTGTGAGAGGACAGGGAGAAAAGGCAGAGTTCAGTAAACCCTTTCCGGCTGCAGGGTGGCAAGTTTCCTACAGAGAACACTGCAAAGTTATGGCCAAATAAGGTCACTTTCAGGTAACTAAAAAAAAAGGCAGGAGCATCTAGGGAATTTCTAATGAGAACTAGAAAGCAAAGTGCCCTAATTTTTGCAACTATAAAAATCATCACTGTTAGATAGGTCACAGTTTTTGGCAAACATCTGCATTATGCGATTTCCCCACCATGCCTGGCACAGTGAGAAAGGCCTGTGTGTTGTCCCCAACACTGGGACACATGGCAATAGAGACAGAGTTGTAATCCAGGCACGTGGCTGCTCATCTGTGAATGGAGGTTTATCACGACACTTTCAGAAATAGGAATAAAAAGTCTCTGTTACTATCAAATCAAACTTTTATGTTCAAACATGCACAGAGTTACGCCAAAGAAAAAGATCCCTCTTGGCACAATGACCAAGCTCTCAGCTGCTCATCAAAAGGTGAGGTTCAAGTTCACCTAGTGGTACCAACGGAGGAAGACCTGTCCATCTGCTCCTGTGAAGATTACAGCCTAGTCAACACGGTGTGTGTGTGGGGGGCAGTTCCACTGGGGAATTTCATGGTCACTATGAGTTGAAACCAACTAGACACCACCCAACAACATGATAAAGAAATGGCCCAGTAATAACTCTCCTTCTGAGAACAAAGACCCAGGCCCCAATCTGACATTTCTCCTCGGCCTTGTAGGTAAGGAGTTGCATTGCCAACCCAAAGGCAAGTGGTCAGATTTCACCCATTGCTTTGAGGGAGAAAGATGAGCAATTTCTTCCCCTGTGATTTGTTGTTAAGTGCCACCGAGTCAACTGTGATTCGTAGCGACCCTGTCAGCAATGGGTCTATGTGATCCTCATCGTCTCAGACATACTTGAGCCCACTGTTAAATTACTGTGTCAGTCCACCTCATTGAGGGTCTTCCTCTCTTTTGCTGACCATCCACCTTTCCAATCATCATGTTCTTTTCTAAAGATCATGCCCAACATGCCTCCTCACAACAAGCCTGGAGTATGTGCGATGAAGCCTCACACTTGTTAACAGAAGCTATGCAATTTGCAGCCTATGAAAACCCGCTGGAGAGTCAGCTATGAGCCAGTTCCAACTCAACAGCAATGAACCCCAGAAAAGCTGGTAGGCAGGCAGCATGAAGGGAAAGTGTCTAGAGTTCTTTTCCATCGCTCAGATGGAGAACTACAGTTGAGAGGGGCCGTAGAGCTTAAAGTCAGCGGCAACTTCCAAGACGTTTAAATAACTTGGGTTCTGACTTGTGGTCATTATCAAGTTAAAATCTACAATAATATTTCCTTTGCTCAACCTTGTGTATTTGTTTTCTTCTCCTTGTTCTTTCTCAAGCCCCTGGATAAAACAGAAATGGTGATGAGAGACTAAAGAAGCCTGGCTCCCAGGCTGACAGATGCCTCCCTTTCTGCCTCTGAGGTTAACCATCTCCTGAAGTCTCAGCTGGGAGACACGGCAGGATTTTCAGTCAGTTACTCTTTCAGGCTAGTGTTCATTTTCAGAAACTGTTCTCTCTTACTTACACTCTATATACAGCTACACAACCCATAGGATAAGGTGATCTTCTTTAGAGCTAGTCTATATTTGCATAGGCTGAAGGATGGCACGTCGGACAGTATGAACTCTGCAATCAACACTATCCTCTTTTCTGGGCCTCAGTTTCCTCCAAAGTAAAAGAAGTAAAGGACTATGTTCTCACAGTCCCTCAAACTCTTTTAATTGAGTTAGAACCGATTGATAGTTGGCCCTACATCGGGTTTCAAAGTCTCTGTGTATCGCATGAAAGGAGCCTATCTGTGTTTAGTGGAGCTGCTGATGGATTCCAACTGCCTGAGCCATTCTGGTTTAGCAGTTCAGCTCCCGACAGACGAAGCCACCAGAGCTCCCTAGGATTAAGCTCAGGTTCTAGTTATCAAAGGATTCCTGATCTCTGAGGTGGCCTGAGCAACTGCAGCCCTTCGATCTTCAGTAAGCCCTAGTGGGCTCTGAGCAAAGGGAAGAATAATCAGGTGTTGCTGTTATTAGCTGTTGTGCAATCTAGTTTGCTTATATCCTGCCGCCTTTTTGGCACTGGTGGGGATGCAAGGATGTAGAGAAATGCTCGCCCTGGAGAGTGGGCTAGAGGCAAGAGAAGTGTGACCATGAGAGTGAGAAATTCTCCAGCCAGTCCTACCCATGGGCACTGGGCCGGTCAGGGTATAGGTATCAATGCTTACAGGACAAGGAAAGGGGCTACTGTCTCCTCAACTTCCATCCAAAGGGTCTAACTGATTAGACAAGCTCTATGTACTACGGCGGCATGAACCTATAAACGTGGGTCAGGTCATCTACTTTTCTGCAGATCCTCTTTCTGTCATCTTGCCCCTTTTCAGGCACAGAAGGCAACAGGTATATCTGAAAAATTACCAAGTAAGGATTTGTAATGAGGTATACACTCTGGTAGCACTTCATTTGAACTGTGCCACTCAAAATATGTGTTGTAAATGTTCTCCTCTGTGCCTGAAGTGATTGAAAGAAGACTCATCAACAACCTACTTTATAAGGATGACACAACCTTGCTTGCTGAAACTGAGGCAGACCTGAAGTGCTTGCTGTAGAAGGTCAAGAACTGGAGTCTTTAATATATATTGAAGCCCAACATCAAGTAGACAAAGATTCTCACCACTGGGCCAATGGGCAGCACTGTGATGGATGGAGAAGAGATTGAGGTTGTTAACAATTACAGCTTGCTCGGCTCCACGATCAACACTATTGGCACCATCAATAAGGAAATCAAAAGATGAATTGCACTGGGAAAATCTGCTGTCAGGGACCTCTCCAGAGTGCTGAGAAGTAACAGTGTCAGTCTAGAGACTAATGTGTACTTCATCCAGGCCATGGTCTTTCCAATTACATGCTATGAATTAGAGAGCTGGATAATGACTAAGGATCATAGAAGAATTGATGCCTTTGAGTTGTGGTGCTGGGTAAGATACCATGGACCACAAAGAAAACAAACAGGTCTGTCTTGGAGAGGATGAAACCAAGTTTCTCGTTGGAAGCTAGGATTTTGAAGCTCTGTGTTATATACTTTGGGCATGAGGCCAGGAAGGACTGGTCCTTGCAGTAGGACATCATGCTTGGAAGGGTGAAGAGACAGCGCAGGAGAGGACAACCCGGGTGAGATGGATTGATACTTTAACTAGGGAAATGGGGTTAGGTGTGTTGGAGTCAGTGAGACTGGCTCAGGACAGTGCAGGTTTCAGAGCTGTGGTACTTAGGGTCACTATGGGTCACATGTGACTTGAGGGCACATAAAAACAACATTCCCATGGCTATAATCTCACTTACGAATGAATGGTTTGTCTTTATTAGGTTATGGAGAAAGTGTCAGAGTAGATTATATACTGAGCCAAACACTTGTGAAATAGAAAAGAGATGAAATGCCAGCTAGCAATCAGAGACAAGAGTAGACACAGGTCAAGCCACATGAACACTATCCAGGAGCGAAAGGTCAAGTATAAGAACCCAGAGCTGATTAAACGCAAACACACTGTTGTGGAGTCTGCTGAAACTCACAGTGACCCTCCACTGGGTTTCTGAAGCTGTAAATCACAACAAGAGGAGACTGCCCATCTTCCTCTGGGGAAGCTGAGGACAGAGGCAAAGCCTTCCCCTGAATTCAGGGAAAATGTCCTGAATTTAGATTTCTAGCTTCTCGAAAACTCTGAGGAAGCAAATTCTATTTCTTAAAGCCACCCATTAGTAGCATATTTTTTTTTTGTGAAGGAAGCACTCAATTAATTAAGACTTGGAGGCCATTTGTCAATTTGGGAGGCACTGGATCAGTAAATGGGAGCTCTGGCAGCCTACTGGGTAAAAAGTAGCACTGCCAACCCAAAGACAGGTGGTTCGAATCCACCATCTGCTCTGTGGGAGAAAGATGAGCATTCTTTTCCTGTGTAGTTCACAACCTTGGGAAGCCTGCTAGAGAGTCAGTTATGAGTTGGTTCTGACTTGGTGGCAATGAGTCTGGACCAGTAAAATGAGATGATTAAGTTCATTCAATACATTACCCACTTAGCTTTGATAAATCCACAGTAGTAACACAATATTTATTTAATATTTCCAAGGCTACATGGAAAGCATGAATATTTTTAAAAGCTATTCTTAAAATGAAAACTATCAAATTTAAATTGAGCTGCGTGAGCAGGCTAGGGTCACTTCCCAGTGGGTACTGCATTTTTGTCGGGGTGATGCCAAACTTTTGGGATGAGACCCTGATGATGCTTGCACAGCACAGTGAACGTAATTAACGCCACTCAAATATACACTCAACAATGGCTAAAATGGCATTTCTTGGGTTACATTATGAAAACAAAAATTGTAACACTGGAAATACTATACACTAAAATGTCAATAAAGGCTATCTCTGGATGGAAGACAGACTTGGGGAAGTTTAATTCTGTTTCTTTTTACATTTTTTAAAAAAAATCAGAACATATGTAAACTTGATAATCAGGATATGTAGTTAAGGGATCCCTGGTGTACGCACAGCCCGCAGGCAGAGAGGCTGCGAACGCAGAGGCCATGCCTTGCTGCCTGTTCAGATCCGCCAGCTGCTCTGTGGGAGAAAGATGGGTAATTTCTTTCTGTGTGATTTACAGCCTCAGAAAAATCCTCCTGGAAGTTCAACTGTGAGTTAAATCTAACTTGACAGCCATGAGGTATGCTATATGAAAAGTTTGGATTTTTAAATTTATAAAATTACAACGTAGTTAATGATAAAAACTTAATCCACAGATTGATCACACTAGTTTTAATATTATTTAATAAACATATATTTTTGTTGTAGAGTTGAAACCTATTCACAGCTGATCCTCCAGACTTTAAAGGTGATTAATTGCATGGGAGGAGACTGTTCATCTTTCTCTTACAGAGCAGCTGGTGGGATTTGAACTGCATGCATAGAGACTGGCTATGTAACTCTTTACAACTAGGCCACCTAATAAACATAACGGAATACATACAGAATGGATTCAAATTTCAAAACAAAGCACATTGCAAAACACCTAAGTTGATTTAATTTCATCACCTTTCTGCTGAGTCTGCGTTTAAGTTCCATTTTTGCTTCTTGTTCTTCTTCTTCGTTCTTTTCTATAATGAAAGGAAAGACATGAAACTTGAATTAGTACAGAGGCTGTTTACAGTAAGAAAACCAGATCAGACCACAGCTAATTGGTGTCTAACACATATTGATCAAATACTCTTAAAAAAGATCTTAAAAGCTATCAAACATTTCGGTAGAAAGACCAACTACTAATCTACATCTCTCTCTCTATGGTGAACAGTGTTTGGTGGAGCTCTCAGATTAAAAGAGGCTAGGAAGCAGGAGTGGCATCCTCTTCTGAAATAGCTTGTCTCCAGAAACTCTATAAACTTAGAGAAATGATGAAAGTTATGCATGTTCAGGACTTTCGTTCATAGGGTTACTTTGAGTAGTCTATGACTCGATAGAACCTAACAACAACAAATATACACATAATTTTTCTCCTTATAGGACTGGTTTATTCTACTGATTTTAAACCATTTTGTTTCCTGACTTTTGTTCTATTCTGAAAAATGTTCACAAGAGGGTCCATACTCTGGCAAAAAGTGTTTTTTTTAATTGAAACTCATTTGATGGTGTTACCAGAACAAATAGCAGAATCCTGGATAAAAATTTACTTCTGGATCTGGTGGCCTTCATATGAGAAACTAAGACAGAAGAACAAATATGAATCACCTAATGTATATCTGAGCTGTTGATTTCCATGCAAATCCAACCAAAATATACAATTTGCCTCAGTTTCTGTAGATGCTGAATATAATTTTTGAACTTTGCTCTCAAAAAGAATGCTCTGAATAGGGTTGGATGTGCACTATTGATGGAGATTATTTCTTTTTCTTATAATTTAGACTTCTCCAGTATTTGGCTAAGTAGTACAAATTAAAGGCCAAAGTGAAGGAATGCTATCCAAAAAGGGATTTTAAAAAAATGTCCAGAATTTAAGAACAAATATCCCTTTAGATTTTAATGGTTGCTTTTTGGGTGAACTTTTTGTTGCTTCCTGTTGCTTGTTATTCATTCTATGAAAAAGTACAGATTTGACTTTTCCAATCAATAATAGAAGGTATTTTTTGAAAGTACTTTTATGATCTCTGTGGAAAGCAAATCAATCACACTATATAAAGAATCAAGCAAAAAGGATGAAAAAGAATTTTTTGCTTCTGTGAAAAGGTAATTCTATTTCTTCTTAAAATTCGCCTGACATACTTTGGGCATGTTGCAAGGAGGGACTGGTCCTAGGAGAGGGACATCATGTTTGGCAGAGTGGAGGGGCGGCGAAGGAGAGGAAGACCTTCAATGAGGTGGATTGATTCTGTGACTGGAGCAGTGGCAATAAGTGTGTTTGAGATGGCTAGGTTGGGACAGGATAGAACAGTATTTAGAGCTCTTGTACACAGGGTTGCTATGAGTCGCAAACGACTCGATGGCACATAACAACAGCAACAACATTTCTTCTTAAAATTCGAATAGCCTTCTTATCACTAAAATGATTTTTAGTGTGAATAACATATCAGTATTCACTATTCTCAATGTTTGCCAGGACATTTGCAAGATTAGTGGAATAAAGTAATTTCGTTCATTTGGCAGAGAAGTTTCTACATTTTTCCCAAGTAGTAATTTTGATTTATAAAAAAGAATATGATCAGCCCTGACTATTCAGAGAAAAAAGTCAAGATAAACTGAAATCAACCCACATGAGAAGAAATAACAATTACTAGTCCCTCTTTTAGTGTCTATGACTGTCAAACAAATATGGGTCTCATTTATCTTTAAAATCCATCATCAAGATCAAAATAATTACCTTTCGTGAGTTGAACAAGGCTTGGGCATTATCCACTATACACAATAGACAAAAATTCCAAACTTGTGGTTCATGTGATTCAACTTAGGGTTTAGAATTGAAGATATGGACTGTATTATTAACAAACAGAAAAACATAACCCTTAAAATATTCAGTAAATTCTTCCTATAGTTGATTATGCTTCCTTTTCCAAGATACCTTTTCGAAGCCAAGAAAGCTGCATATCTAATTCCCCAAAGCTAACAAACATTCCAATATTTTATCAGCATACAAAAAGTCATTTCCTCAAAGGGAATATTATTACATAGTTTTGTTTTTTTAATTTGTATCGTACATGTAGGTGACAGCCAATTCTATTTAAGAAAGAAGAGTCAATTGCAGTTAGTGGAGTTAAATGTTTCTAACAGGATTCTTTTCTGCTTTGACTTTTTTTGTTAATGCTATGTGTCTTCATCAACTGAAAGCAAGGAAAACTTTTTTTGAGATAAGATACATTTTGATGTAATTATGTGCAATGTAATTATGTGTGATGTAATTATCTGTCCCAAGTGAACACTGGTAGAGCTGTGGATAGAGGCTTGTTCTTCAAATTCATATTTATACAGGTTTCTGCCAGGTGGTAGCCCCACTATAATTGGGAAGACAACTTCTCAAGAAACCAGAGAGCCTAAAAAATGTAGGTGGATGGGATATGTCCAGGGGTCATGAAAGGGTTAAGTAAACAGGCTGATACCCTCTGAGAGGGATTTTCTGATATCAGGAAAGGACTTCCTTGCATCTCCCATGTTCCCATTTCTGCTTCTAAAGAAGTTAAGAGAGGAGGACGAGTAGTGGAAGGATGCCAGCATGGCTGTTCCGAATCTTATTAAGAATAGCCTTTGTGAAATCCCTTACAACAGAGTCAAGGTTAAAGCTTAAACCTTTTTTTTTTTTAAACAAAAAAGCACCCATTTTTTTCCCCAAGATATTTCCTTCCATTTTTGATTCATTAAAAGTATTAAAAGTAGGATGTAAGCTTTTCTGGTCACTTTAAACAAACTGGAAGAATGTTCATGAAGGAAATGACATGGCTCATTGACAAATCTTGCCCTCAGTTAACCCCCAGCAGAGCAGAGAAGGGCAGGCGTTTCAAAACCACACAAGGAAAAGCTGCCCATAAACAAACAAATAATAGAGGCTTAACAGGCTTGGGCTTGAGGGAAAAGTTGCCTCATTGCAGGTTTTGCTCAAAGTATTTTACAGATGAGCTGAAAGGAGAAGAAAGAAAAGCAGAGGAAAGCCAGGAACTTGACAATTACAAGCTCGAGTCATCAGTTCAGATAAGATGGGTCCAAAAATGATCCCCACTGTGTAATTTTGTTCCTGTTTTTGCTGTTTCCACATGACTGTTTTTTTAACATATTGAGAAAAAGGATAAGCTCACTTTGAAATATACAAAAGTAAGATACATTCTTTAGTCATTAGTTCAGATAAGATGGGTCCAAAAAGAGGGATTTTTTGTGTGGTTTTGTTTGTTTCTGCTGTTTCTACATGAATGTTTTTTAACAATGAAAAATAAGAATAAGTTCCCTTTTAAATATACAAAATTAAAATATATCCACGGAGGCAGAACAGAATTAAGGTGCTAGGTATGACAGAGTGATCCACATATGGGTACTTATGGTAATATTAAACTTATTTGCATATTCTGAAGGTTGTAAAAGAAAATGATGGGGAAAGAATATATGCCGAACTCAATGGAATAAGATACTTTTATCTACAGTGTTTGGAAGCAGGAGTGGCATCCACTTCCCAGACAACATGCTTCTGGAAACTCTATGAACTTTGATAAATGATGATAATTATAGAAAGGCTTCAGGTCTCTTGTTCATAAGGTCACTGAGTTGTTCTCAATTTGACGGTAATCAACAACTCCAACATTATATGTAGCTGTGATTACACTTAGAACTAAACAGTACAGAAGGAGTTACACGTTTTGTCTCTGTTTTTAGAAAAGGTGTTCCAATACATGGCTTTCTCTGATAAGCAAGTATTTTCCCCCTTTCAACACTAAGTCTTTGTATTTTATCAATTTTAAGAAGTGATTCTAAAATATATAACTAAACAAACATCATTTCCCCTAAATAAACGTTGTTTAGTGATGTATTTAAGATGTTGTTTACCACTGATTTGGAAACAACTCATAGCTGACCCTCCCGTGGGTTTTTAGAGGCAGTAAATGCACAGGAGGAGACTGCCCATCCTTCTCTCACGGAGTACCTGGTAGATGTACACCATACGCCTTTGGGTTGGCAACTCCAACACTCAGCTGACCATCCAGCGGGTTTTCAGAAGCAGTTAATTGTACAGGAGAGGATCGCTCATCCTTCTCTTAATAGGCCACCACCTATACATGCATGTATAATTTAATATACTGTCTTTGACACACATACTGTGTGCATTACACAGTTTTTGCAAACTACACAATCACCTCTCAAGCTAATTTCCAACACATGCCATGCACATTACATGTGTATACACCGTGTATATAATGCATATATTTTTACCTCCAGCTGCCTTTAAAAATAAGTCCAGTATAGAACAGATATGGGGAAGATGCTAAAAAGGGGATTTTTATAGCCTGCAATGAAAGTGATCAGCAGGTATGACCATCTAACTGGTGTCTATTAAGGTAGTGATGGGTTCTGATTTGAGATCACTGAGTGCTTTATGCTCTGAGTTAATTATAGATATGTCAAGAAACAAAAGGTGACTTAGTTAATATACATGTCCATAGAAGGTACAAAAGACCGTCAGCAAAAATAACAAGTTGGTCTTTTCCCCCTCAAACAGACAACCACATTTATTATTATTTTTTAACCACATTTCATTTGAACAAAAGCTATAGGTAATCAAAGAGCAATCCACATGGAAGTATTAATCATGCTTAAATGAACTCAGATGGAAGTACAAAAGGTCTGGAGCCAACACTGACACTGACTTTGGTGTTTCTCTCCTCAGGTCTCCAGGAAAGAAGGGGGTTTGAAAGCCAACACAGCACAGGAGATTAGTGTGTCACAAATTGCATGATTTACGAAGCAATGTCTTGAAATGGCACATCTTTCGGCACTGTTTATCTCAGAGCAGGAGGTACTCAACCAGACTTCTCTCTCCATTTTTCAAGGTTTATCCAGTAAGACAGAATTTCTGAGTTTAGGAGCTTAAGGTCTGCACTTTGGCGTTCTTAAAACTGAATCCCACAAATACTTCCCAGACACCTATTATCAAAAGCCATGTACCTTTCTTGCTTTGCTGTCAAATTTAGATGCTGCTTTTATGTTTCCTCAGAAACAAAACACATTTCTTTCCTACTGGCCCTGACTAGTCTTTCTCCATTTTGGTTTCTACAGTGATGGCCACTTCTTTCTTGGGAACATATAGAGTCCAATCATAGGTATGAGGAAGCTCTGGTGGTTGTGAGGTAAGGAGTTACACTGCCAACTCAAAGGCAAAGCAGTTAAAATCGACCCGCTGCTCACGGGGGAAATATGGGCAATGGCCTCCCACGTGATTGTCTCTGAAAACGTGCTGGACAAACAACCACCACCACAACAACAAAACAAATACTGCTGGAGGGTCAGCTATGAGTTGGTTCTGACTCAATGGTGCACAGCAACAACATTAGAGTTATTTTGACAGAGAGCTGAGGGAAAGGGGAAAATGGTTTTCAAGGAGGCATTTCCATACTTAGGGCAACTGGCAATTTCTCTGTTTAGTATCTTTTCTCTCTTAAAAGTACTCTGTATACATATATAAAAGGTTGGCTGTTCTAATCCACTAGTCACTCTAAGGGAGAAGGATGAAGTGGATTGCTTCCAGAAAGGTTTACAGCCTTGGAAGTGGAGCAGTTCTATTCAGTTCACTAAGAGCCAGGGTGAACTCTTCTGTTCTTAGAAATAGCAACCATTAAGGGGAGCTCTGGTGGCCTAGTGGCAAGGATCTGCAACTACAATCCCAGAGGCACATGGTTCGAATCCACCAGATGCTCTGCTGGGGAAGGAGGGACAATCTCCTCCTGTACCAGTCAGATCTGATTTGACGGTACACTCATACAAAAATAATAAAACAAAATAAAAAATAAATAGCAACTATTTGTGTAAATACGCAATTTCTAAAAACGCAGACTAGAGAACAGAGATAATAGAGGCAGATCCCTTGAGCTCTAACTTTAGTTCAAGAGGATTTTCAGAGTAGACAAAATGACAGAAAAGTACAGGTAGGAACAATTACAAAATACTCATTACTGAACTCACTGTGGTTGATACCCTATATTGTGCAGAATTGCATTTCAATTAGTTTGGGACTGAAAATTCTGACTCCAGGAACTTAGGACCCCACTGCCCTACTGAGGGGTGGGGGTGGCAGGGGGAAGGCCCGAGACAATTGGGTGAAAATCAGAATAAGAAAACAAAGTGGAGAAAAGACTAGAGAATTCTAGAAATGCTGAGAATTATGGATAAGGCAGGAGGGAAGCAGAATTAACCCAGCATAGCAGGTGAAAGAGGTCACAGAGCTCTATTCAACCATACTTCCATTTAAAATTGAGATCTTTTTTAAGCTCAGCAGGAAACTGTAATAATTGTATAGGACAGTTTATGTCCTTGTGAATTCTTTGGCCTCTTCCTTGACGTGGATTTGAAGTAAAAGACAGATTTTCTTCTATTTAATATTTAAGTGAGAGAATACAAGGAACAAACGTAATTTCTCGTAAACACAATCGTCATGGACTACAACTCCGGCCTGGGAACTATCACATTAGAACCACAGAGTGAGAAGTGAAAATTGAGAACTATCTTTTAAAACATATAAACAACGTCACCTAAATGTGACTAATAGGGATCATCACAACCAATAGTGAGTTAACCAATATATTCAAGTTTTCTGCTGATATCTAGAGGGTTTCCGGGGGGAGAGTCAGACAGTGAATCACAGCACTCACGTTTTAGGATATTTCTTTGCTCTAGTTCTTCAGTCGTCGGTCTCTGGCTGAGTCTTCTATAATGACAGAAAGGATACATTACAGGTTATACACAAAATCCTTTAGTGGAAGAATAAAGACAATCGAGTTATTTATCTTCACGTTTGGATTTATGTCCAAAAATTTTTATTGTGTTCTAGGTGAACATTTACATAGCAAAATATGCTCCCATTTAACAATTTTTATACTAACTGTTCCATGAAATTAGTTATGTTTTTCATAATGTGTCAACATTCTTATTCTTTTTAGTCTATTTATTATCTTTCCATTAATCTACCATCTTTGCTTCTCCTTACAGTTTAATCTTCATTTTAAGATAAATATTGACTGGTTGGCCTCATTAACTGGGCTATTTAAAGAAGCAACATATTCTTGAATCTTACTTGTTTTTTGTGTAAGCCAGTCTAGGTTTTGGGATTGCAGTGCAGCTTCTTGCCACTAGGCCACCAATCTAGGTTCTGGATGAAAGGTGACTACAGAGAAGGGCTTCAGTGCCAAGTTTATAGTGTATTTCAGGCTGATTGTCTCAGGGACCACCTGTTCTCCATTGATTGAGTAAGTCTCACATTTTCCAGGAATTTAGTATCTGTTCTCCCTTTTATCTGGGACTTTCTATTGCGTCCAAGTCAGAATGGTAGGTAATGGTTACTGTTGTTGTTGTTAGGTATAACACCGTCGAGCTGAGCACTACCCATAGCGACATTATGAACAACATATCTGGACCCTGTTCTATCCTGTGTCAGCCTCACACTTCCTGACACCGTAGAGCCCCACATTGTGGTAGTCACCATTTCAATTCACATGGTTGAAGGTTTTCATCTCCTTTGCTGACTCTCCACCTTTCTGTACATCATGTTCCTTTCCAAGGAATAACCTCTCTTAGCAACATGCCCAAAGAATGTGAGGCAAAGCCTCGTCATCCTTGCCCAAAGGACACTTGGCTGCATCCTCTCCAAGGCATGTGTGTTTGTTCTCCTGGCTGTCCACAGGATGTTCAGTGCTCTTCTCCAACACCACAGCTCAAAGATATCCTTACTCACGATCTAGCTCTCAGATGCATAGCAAGTGATCAGAAAGACCAAGGCCTGAATCAGACACATCTTAGTCTTCAAACTGACATCATTACTCTTCAATAATTTGGATAGTTCCCTAACTGCAGGTTTTCCCAGTGCAATCCATCTCCTGATTTCCCGGTTGCTGGTATCACGGATGTTAATTGTGAACCCAAGTAAGATGAAGTTGTTGACAGTTTCAATCCTTTCTCCATGTATCATAATGATGTCTATTGGTTCAGTAGTAAGAATCTTTGTTTTCTTGACAGTGAGATGCACTCCATATTGAAAGCTGTACTCTATATGATCTACTGCAACAAGTGCTTCAGTCCTTCTAAGTTTCTGTAAGCAAGGTTGTGTCCTCTATATAACACAGGTTATTGATGAGTCTCCCTCCAATCCTGATGCCATAATCCTCTTCACAGAGTCCAACTTCTTGACTAATTTCCTCACCATGCATATTAAATAGTTATGAAGAGAGAACATAGGTTGGAGTAAGTCTATGCATGTCACTGCTTATAGATCTTTATGTTCTGGGCAATAAACCATTTTCAATACTACAAAATAAAAATACCCTTTCCTTTATGTGAGGTAGTGGCTGAAACTGCTAATGAATATCCCCTACTCTCCATTCTTTTTTTGCAAACAGAATTTCCCTGCATTTTAGGTGGGTACTTTGCTGCAGATTTCTGCTTCTCTTGAAACAAGGTCTAACTAGGGGACTGAGTTCTTGTGGTGGCTACTAGAAGCGACATTTGCAAGTTCTTCTTTTTACCTGTAAAATAATTAGGTATTTCTCTCTCTCTCTTTCTCTCTCTCTTTTTTTTTAACAGGCCATATAGATTTAAGCTTAGCCAGTACTTTAGTTAACACAGTAATTATTAGAGTATAAAAGTAGCTGTTACTCAGCTCTTAAAAAGAAGAAGAGTTCTTCATGAGAAAAGTATTTGTAAATGCTTAGGACCAACTGCAGGATAATATAGCAAATATAACAAGTGAGTCAGGAAAAAGAGCTGAACAAACCAAGGAGGGAAAAACATTAGGAAGTTCTTGACAAAAGGGTGGCAACCTAACTTTATTGTACAATGAAATACTGTTTCCATGACCTTGAATGAATAAAGTTATCCTCAGATACAGATCTCTCCCTTCCAATTTCCATAAAGGCCAGATTAGTTTGTAATTATTATGGTAACATGCCATCGAGTCAGAACTTACTTCGAGCTGAAAATTTTCGGGAGTTTTCAAAAGCAGTAGATCAGAAGGGAGGAGCCTGGCCATCCTTCTCCCACAGAGCAGCTGGTGAATTCTAACCATGTGCCTTTGCATGGTGTTGCAACTCCTTATCACTAACAAGCACTTACCATCACGAGCAACAGACAGAAATTGCAACCAAAGTGCTCCTTGGAGGCAAAGATGATGAAGCTTCATCTAACGCATTTTGGGAATCTTGCATGATACCACTACACCAATGGCACTGTCCATCTTACATACGCTGCACGTGTTGCTAGGAGAAATTATTCCTTAGATAGGGATGTCAAGCTTGGGAAGGTGGAGGGGCGGTGAAAGAAAGGAAGAACCTCAACCAGGTGGGTTGACAGACTGAGGCAATGGGTTCGAGTGTGTCAGAGAATGTGGGATGGTATAGAACAGGACAGTGTTCAGATTGGCTGTTCACAGGGTCACTATGACTTGTCCTGGACTCAATGGCACCTAACAACAACAACAACAGTAGCCGTCTATATGCAGATTAAGAAGGAAATGTTTTAACATGTCTCTATAATTTGGTTTTGGTTTTGTTCATATTATTCATCTATTATTAATCAGAGAAAAATCACTTTAACTTACCACAGGTGAATTAACATACATAAAAAAGAATCTTAACATGAAAGACTACCAATTCTAAATGTGTATGGTTGTAAAAATCAGAAAGGGTCTGATGGAAATAAATGGACATTTAAAATATTTCATTTGTAATTCTTTTTTTTTAAAATTAAAGTCCTTAATATATCTATCTTGAGATTAACTTAATTGACTGGGGCCACATGAAAATCCAGTGAACATTTAATTCAGGTAGATTTTGTACCAGCCACACACTGAAACATACTGTTCTGCCAATGCACCATATCACTTCCCAATCATACTATCATTTTCTTTATTGAGCTCCTTTTTTTGTCCTTTTCCACTTACTGAAACCACAAATGTTTAAAACAGCCCTTTGAACACAGATGTTTACGGAATTTCTCTGACTCTTTGCTCCCATATAAAACGCAAACTCATGTTGTCAAGTTGAAACCAACTCAGAGCTGACCTTCCAGTGAGTTTTCAGGAGGCTGTGAATCGCCTGAGAGGAGATTACTGATCTCTCCGCCAAGGAGTGGAGGATGGATTCCAAACAGAGAGGCACGACCTTTGGGTGAGTGGTGAATTGAACCTATAGACTACGCCACAAGACCTGGACAGTCATTGCATATGGGTGACATTATTCATTCACCAACCAGACGGGAAAAACCTTAGCTCGTTACATACAATTTTGTGCAAATTAAGCACATTTTCAGAGGTTGTAATTCAGAAGAGAAGAGGTTGCCCATCTTTCTCCTGCAGAGTAGATGTCAGATTCACACTGCGTGACTGAGTTACAACGACTTACCCACTGGACCTGTAGAGCTGCCTGTATACACAAAAGGGACTCACTATGAGAGGTTATTGCCACTGCCCAAGTGATAGGGCTGCCAAAAGAATGCTGTGAAGAGAGCAGGGCCATGCCTAGGATGGACTAGGAGAGTTGGACTGTCCAAAACTGAGGATGCAGGACCGCTTTATCAGGGCCTTCATTCACAATGTGGATGGCATGGTCAACACCTAGAGTCTAGAGGACAGAGCCACTGCCTGTACGGTTCCAAGGAACAGAGAATTACTTTTAATTTTTGAAAGCAAGGTGTGAAAATTATTTGGAAGGGTATGAAATGGAAAGAGACTTGAATTTGAAAACATGATTATTCCAGAATGATAAATGCTGTTATTATGGGCTGTCAACTTGGAACCAACCCATAGCTGACCCTCCAGTGGGTTTTCAGAGGCTGTAAATCTCATGGGAGGAGACTGCCCTTCTTTCTCCCTCATAGCAGCTGATGGATTCAAACCATGCTCCTATTCCTGGCAAAACAACTCCTTATCCACTAGACCAACAGAACTCCCCCAAATGTTAACCAGGACAAGGAAACTTATGGGTAAAACCATAGAGTGGGAGGCTCAGAAGAGGCATGGTGAGCTCTTTCAGGATCCTAATGAAAGATGTTGGATTATTTTTACAAACATACACAAGGACAACAGAGTATGCGACACATTAAAGTGAAAGGACTGGTCAGCATCTTCGAGTTGGGCGATTAGGATTCTAGTAGGATGCTGACATGGAATTTTTTTCTGTTCCAGTTATCATTCTGGTAGATCCACATGTTGCAAAGTCTGTTCTGGTTTTGCCTCACCAGCCAGGCCTGAATAGGGAAGAACTGGTTATAAACCTCTGCTTGAGAGCTAATGTAAACTGTTCTGCTGGGTTTGGGGTCTGCTTGCTGCCTGTTACCCTTTCTATCCTCTCACCAATCCCACATGTAATGGAAAATCTACCTTGTACTTTGTATCTGCTTTCACATTTTGCCATTGTATTTTGGAAGCATAATTTGTAATCTACATTGACAAGTTCACAAATAAGGAGGAATTTTGCCCCAAGAGGATATATACCTAAACTCTCACCCTCATTTGATTTAGATGACTCAGAAGATGAGAATTTGAACTTCAGGTTAATTTCCTCCCTTTCTTTTTTATTATTAATATCGTCATAATTCATTTCTCATTTAATTATTAATATTTTTTATAATATACATTGTGTTTTGTGCATGTATGTTATGTTTCTGGACTTTGAGACTGATTTAAGATTTCTGGGTTGATGTGATAGGGTGAATGTGTTT